TATATACCTCTTAGTTGTTAAAATGGCATGGAATGAAATACCTGCATTAAACAAAAACAATGACCAGATTGAATGTCTCCTGCCTCTTGTTTTTCTTGGGTGTGTTCCACCCCTATAGTGTAAAGTCTATGATGTTGAAATTTTAGTTCTTGTGAACAAGGAAGAATTAGGAAATTTTGGGGGAGAATGGAAGGAGGTAATAAAAACATTACTGCCTGTTCTACATGAAATTGACTAAAGTGTAATGAAATCAGCCAAGGTAATTCTAGTAAGTCCAGTTTTGTATGGTGGGGTTTTTCTGTCTGTTGATTGGATGTGGAAAGAAGTTCTGCTAGAAATATTTTGGATTAGAATAATATTGAGGCATTTTATGCCAAGGATTAAAGAGAGCCAGACTAGGGGGAAAAAATGAGCAGGATATTTCTACTCACTATGATAGGATGGGACTTAGAAAAGAAAAAAGAAGCTTTCCTTCTGGATACCAGTATGTACCTGCTCTGTGACTTTGGATAAATCGCCTAATTATTTTCATCCTCAGTTTCCTCATCTATAGAAAGAAGAGGGTAGATTAATTGTACTCTTCTCATCTCCAAAAATGTTTTGAGTTATGACTATGGTAATGAAATGTTCGGCTTTTAATCCACTTTCTGTCTAAAGCTGTGGAGGATCAATTCTATTTTGTTAGGAAGTGGGAAGGGACAAAACATTTTATGAGGTTGGAAATCTTGCATTATTCAGGGGATTCTTTAATTGACCTTCCCTTAGAAACACAACTGTCATTGCCAGAAGTGTAATCTGGGAATATTAGATACAAAAGAGCTTCTAAGGTCTGTACTCTTTTTGTCCTGCCAGAAATACCGGACTTTTCTTCTAAAATTCAGTATGGGCAAGGAGATCACATTACTAGAACCGGTGAGGATCCAGGAGGAGGTCTCCAAAAGGGAGGAAGCCTCTGCCTAGCCCTGATGTTGCAAAAAAGGATTTTAGGATACATTAAGGTAGAGACCAAGAAGGTTTTATTTGTAAAGCAAAGCAGAGAAAGGATAGGACACAACGCAGACATATGGTAGGTGTAAGCAATCTGATAATAGGTGCAATGAGTGCTTTAAAATCAGAGGTGTTTATGGTGAAACTGTTGGTTAGGGTTTGGCTTAAATTTTTCTTAGGATGAGTGCTTCCCTTTGTTCTGATACCTGGTATATTTAATCATTCTTGCTGTCACACTGTTTTAACAATTGGGCCCAGAGATACCAAGGTTGGTCCATTTATTACATTTGGGTCATTATGACATAGATGTCTAAATATCCCTATAAAAACAAAGGATGGGTTCTGCCAGATTCTCCCTTTAAGACAGGTGTCTATCCTTGAGATAAACATTTTCTTTAGAAAACACTTTTGTGATTAAAGTTTTTTCCCAAGTGTCTCCATCCCCCAGGATAAGTGTTCTTTCCCATAGCATTGCTCAATTCACTAATCATTTGAGTAAGTGGGGCAAAGTCAGCTCTTTTTTTTTTTTCTTTTTACTAAATGTTGCAATTTATTGAGGGAGTATGAAATTAAAAACAAAGAAAGTAGTGTCTGTGTGGTTTTTATCAAGCTGTTCATTAATACAGTGTTTATTTCTGAATTCCTGGTTGCTGTTTCACATGCTTCATTTTCCATGGTCCATCCTGCCTTAGTCACTGCAAAGAAAAAATGTTTTCTAGCCTTGCACCTTGTCTGGGCCCAGTTGGCTAAGATAGCTCTCTTGCTTCAGTACTATTCCTTATTCTTGAATGCTCTTTATTCCTTACAAGCCCATCCTATTCTTTAATCACTAAAAACAGAACTTTGCAGGGTAGGGTTGGGGGGATGGAAATAGCAGATTAGGGTAGAAGAGGTAATGGATTTGTTGTAATGTGCTTTTGTTGTATAAGTTTATTATATCTGTAAACAGGGATAGAAAGAATACAAGTTGTTCTTTCTGTGCATCTGGTGCCTATCAAACAAATGGGAGAAAAAGGTTAGGAATATTTATCACAAGTCAAGTTTGAGATTTTTGGAATCTGTGTCTGAAGGTTGGACCTGCTACAGTTTGCAGAAATCACAGGTAATGTGAGTCTCACATTAATCAGCCAGCCTTTCTTAGCTTGGCTTGGTAGGAAGGAAGTGACATGGTTCCTTAAACTATACAAGTTGATAGGCTGTTGTTCTGCATGGGGGGGGGCCTCTAAAGTTGTTGTTTACAACTGTCCTCATGTAGACAAATCACAAATAGCTACTTTAGTTATTTTTAATTTTCTCATGTTGACATTTTCCCAGAATTAAATGTTTCCATAACTGTTTTTAGGAATATGACTGAATGTTGGCCTTTACATCTAACTTCAACAAAGCAGCAAGTCTATAAATGTTTTTGAGTCTAACAACAACAAAAACTTTAGTTTAAAATTCATTGTATAGCAGGACATAATGGCACATGACTGTAATCCCAGCATTTGGGACAAAGACAGGAGGATCATGAGTTCAAGGCCAGCATGGGCTATGTAGCAAGTTTAAGGTGAGCCTGGGCTATGTAGTGATACCTTGTTTCAAACCATTGCCTCTCCCCTTTCTCTAGGAATTATAGTTATTTCTGGATCTGTTCTCATTGATGTGACCAGAACCAAGTAATTCATGTGTCTTTAATACAGAGGTTTTTCTTCCTCTGTATTTAGATTTTTCTTCCAGTTATTTCTCAACTATTAATGTGAGAATTGAATTAGAGACTGATGAATCCAGACATAGTGGTTAAGCCTGTAATCCCAGCACTTGGGACGCTGAGGCAGGAGGATCACAAATTTGAGGTCAGGATGGGATATGTAGTGAGTTCCAGGCCAGCCTGGGCTACATAATGAAACCCTGTCTCCAAACAACAACAACAACAACAAAAAACCTATTGAGGAAGAGGCATTGCAGGTACACATGAAGCATCAGGATGGGAGACTTAATCTGTGACAAATTTTAAATTACAACTAAGTGGCTGAGGGATAAACACTCCTGAATGATGTAATGTTAATTGCAGTATTGCAGGAGCTTTTAATTTCCTGTCAAAGCTTATGCAAATATGCTCATCCATTGTCATAGTTTTTTGTCTTTACAGATTATAATCACATTTAGTCAAAAACATAGCTTTATGTTGTTTATGGAACATATATGATATATTATGCTTGTTTGCTCACAGGGAAGTTATTTATGAATCACAGTCTTGGGTCACTTTGGTAATTTTACTGGCGTCTATAAACTTAGTTGTGGTTTATGCCTGTAAAAAGAGCAGTTACAAGATGGCTATTTTAGGGTTGAATTATGTGCTGTCACCAATTTTCCTTGAATTTTTTTCTCTTGGATTTTAGTGTGATGGGAAATGTATGCAAAAGGATTTTTTAAGAGCCATATTAAGTATCTTTTTTGTTGTGACTTTTTTTTTTAAATATTTGGGGGAAGGAGAGACTATCTATATTAAATAAATTATCCCAGCAGTTACATGACTTACTAATGTCTGTTCTCAAAAGTATCTTTAAAATATTTATATTGGCTTTAATTCTGTCTATATAAATGTTTTTTCTTTTTCACAGATAATAAATGAAAGCATTTGTAGTATATGCAAATATATAAGGGGTCAAAGTTTTTAGTTTGATAGTATTTGTAGAAATCATTAGATATCAAATGAAATGCTAGAATAGAAGCTTAAAATTCATTTGTAAAATAAGATTAAATTAAGTAACTGAGGATAAAAGAGGACAGGTGTATAAGAGTCTGTTCCTAATTTTATGAGAAGTTAGTCGGGATGATTATTCTCAAGACAATAAAAGTGTGTTACAAAACCTGTGCTGGCATTTTTCTCCCCAAGTATTTGGGTCTGGGGTATTTTCTTTTTCTGTTTTTGTTTGTATTCATCTAACAGGCCTTTAGTGAGATCCATCTGTCACAGAGTGCCCAGCTGTCCCAAAAGTCCTGAGACTGTCTGATACAGAAAAGCAGTGAAAAGTTTTGGTTGAAATTGGGGACCAAAGAGGGCAGGCAGCCCCTCACCCTTCTTCTTTTAAAGTAAAAATGTTGATGCATAGAAGTAGAGGCACCTTGGAATTTCTAGGCTGTCTTCTTTTTTCTTTTTTTTTTTTTTTGGAAAGAGGGGCTGTACTGGGGTTGAACTCAGGGCCTCATATTTGCTAGGCAAACACTTTACTACGTGAGCCACTCGAGCCCTTAGGCTGTCTTCTTTCGTGAGAAACATCAAATTGGAGTGGTTCCCCTTCTAAAAAGGAAAGAATTCCTTAAGTTTTTCATCTGGACTAAAGAGAAACTCCAAATCTCTTATGAGGCAGCAGTTCAATAAGGGCATATTCTATACAATATGACCAAAATAATGTCTTGCAGTTTTGATGGCTAGTGAGGAAATAGCAGAAATGGAATAGGCCCAAAAGCAGAATAATACTTGGACCTGCCTCACCTATCCAAATGTGTTTAATTAACATATAGGTAGACTTAGCGAATATAGATCTATCAGATGGTCAAATTTGAGCCTGTATTATTGTGAAGTCCTAATTAGTCTTGCTGTATGATCATAGGACCATGGGATTGAGCACTTTTCATTTGTCAGAACACCATGGTAGTTTGTAAGCTGTTTAATTTTTTTTGGTGGTTACTGGGGTTTGAATGCAAGGCCTTGCACTTGCTAGACAAGCACGTTACCACTTGAGCCATGTCTCCAGCCTCTTTGCTTTAGTTATTTTTTAAATAGGGTCACACGTTTTTGTCTGAGCTGGCCTGGATCATGATCTTCCTAGTTATGCATCCCGCCATATTATGGGAGGATAGGCATGAATCACCACACCCACCTTTATTGGATCTGAAGAACTTTTTGCCTGGGCACTCTGTTCTTCTCAATCTCTGCCTTCCGAGTAGCTGGGATTACAGGCCTGAATCACTGCACTTGGTTGGCTGTTCAGATTTTTCAATTGGTGATTTTGTATTTTTGTTTTAAGATCTTAGCAAAGCAATGTCTCAAGATGGCGCTTCTCAGTTCCAAGAAGTCATTCGGCAAGAGCTAGAATTATCTGTGAAGAAGGAATTAGAAAAAATACTTACCACAGCATCCTCACATGAGTTTGAGGTAAGGACTCTACAGTGTTTTTGCTTCGTCTATCAACATACTTAGTTGCTACCAATGGTGATTGTTTCATCTAAAATAAGCTCAAGATGTATGATAACATCCCTCAAAAAATTAGTATTGCTTAACAATTAAGGATTTTCAGCATTTTCCCATAGTAAAACAACTAGGTTTTTTTTTTCAAGTCTACGAAATTTCCAGAGTCACTACAAGAATCTGAACAAAACAGTACTTTATTTGTTCTGTGTTTTGATATTATGTGGTAGAGAAGTAGGTGGCAGTGGTTAGTGGAAATTGTGAGATGTTAGTCTGTCAACCATATGTTCTACATGTCTTTTCCAAAAAAGCCAGTTTTAGTAAAACCATGCTACTTTAACAGCTATCATAGAAGTTGCCAGAGTTGGGAGGTATCTACTTTTCTGCTTGTTAATAGATTATCCTTTTCGTTTTTGTTTTGAGATTAGCTGTGTTTTGTTCCTTTTTTTACTTTTGATGAAGGTTAATTTCCACTTAGAAGTAGGAAAACATATTGATCAGTAACGTAGAGAACCTGTTGAAATTCCATGAACCAAATGGTTTTCAGATCAGATGATACTGATGGTAGGTGGGGAAGATTTCTGGCATGTATTCCTTTAAATGTGGACCTTACTAGTTTTTCTATTGCTTTCATTTTAAGTTAGGGTGTAGAAAGTCCACTCTATTCTATATTCTAATAGTATAAAAATTTCATTTAAAGGCATTTTAAGTGTATACTTTGTATCTATTTTTACTAAAAATTATGCATTCTGCTGATTGTAACAACATCTATTTTCATAGCACACTAAAAAAGATCTTGAAGGATTTCGGAAGCTATTTCATAGATTTTTGCAAGAAAAGGGACCATCTGTGGATTGGGGGAAAATCCAGAGGCCTCCAGAAGATTCGGTAAGTTTTAGATAAAATGTAAGAAAGTTTAAGGTAATTTTGGATATTGTTTAACTTTGGAAGTGGGGGAGTGTAGGGGACTTGTAAGAACCATCACAAATCAATAGCTTTGAGATTTCTGAAATCTCGTGATAAAACTGAGTAGATAGCCTTAAACGTCTTTTCCTTTTTTTTGACATTTTATAGAGTCCTGCTGAGGACTTCTGAGAAAGTAATTTCCCCGTGGCACTACCTTATAACTTAACATCCCTGAAAATGAGGTCATTCTTTTGCAATGTATGTTTAGTACAAAATTTACCTTTTGAGTTTGTTTTTTCTTTCTCTCTTCCAAACCTTTTGATTTCTCATTGCCTGAAGGGTCAGTTAGACTTTAAACTCTCCCCATGCTTTCAGCCCATCTCTGTAGCACTGTCTGCCTTAATGAACTGACTTAGCATTGCGATCATACACATCTTGCCCTGCTTATGAGTTGTTTTCTTGGAATGCCATGGTGTCTTCACCTATCAAAATCCTTCTCATTCTTGGAGGCACAGTCCAAATGCCTGCATGTCTGTCATTGGCTCCTAGCAGAAAGCTGCACTGAGGAGGTGTAGAGCAGTAGTATCGGAGGTTTAAGACCCAACTCTTCCATTTTATCAGTTTGGGGTAAAATGAGAATAATATCCAGAGATTTTGTAATTCACAGGGTTGTTAGGAGACTTTATTAAGTGAATGTATGTGGAAGCCTGAAGCATTTTGCAGAGTTAGTTATTTTTATCATTATGTGGCCCTTAGCCAGCCTCATTAGTAGTAGTTATTTGTGTGATATTTGTGTGTTGACTTCTGTCCTAGATCTTGAGCCAATGGACCAAGTGTACTGAACAAGTTTATTGAGTGGATCATCTCAATGCACTGATTGTCTGAGAAACAGATTTTGTTAACACATTAACCTTATTTCCCTTTTCTGTCAGCTCTTTTGACTTCTGTTGCTTATAGAAATTTTCACCATAGGTAGAAAAAGATGTGGTGTAATTTTATCTCTTAGGTGTCTATAATCGTACATAATCTAACATTGTAAAATCAGGTTGTTTAAAGCGAACTACTGACTGAAGTCTATTCTGCTGCCTGTGTTTGCTAAGTTTTACTGGAATACAGGCCAACTCACTCATGTATATACCACCATCTAAGGGAGTTTAAGCTAATGGGGTCCTTCATACATTTTTTCCTAATGAGAAAATCTTAAATTAGTTCCCAGTTAGGAGTACTTTTATTCTCATATGTGGAAAATACCTTTCAGTTCTTAAACTTTTAAAATTTGAAAATTACATGCTCATTGTAAAAAACAAAATAAGCTAAAGAAATTAAGACCCACTTCATGATTCACCTGAAGGAGTCTCTGATTTTCAATATTGAAATTAAAATTCTTTTTTTTTTTAAAGAAAAAACAGTTTTATTAGAAGAAGAAAATGACAGTATGCTAACTTGAACAGCTAGGTTGTATAAGAGAAGGTCTGAAAATTTCCATCTCCAAGACATGATTGCATTTATGTGCACCTTGTTTTTTCTTCAGATCTGGAAAATATAATTACATATTTCAGCAAGTAATGGCTCTTCCCTTTCCCGTGTGCAGAAATTCTGATGATCCCTCAGTCTGTTCCTTCTGGAACAGTTTTCCTCTTCTCCCTCTGCCAGCCCTAGTGAGTTCATCTTTACAGGCTTGAAGTTAAAGTTTTTCTTACCTATAATGCTTGACGATTATAGTTACCATGTATTTTTAGGGCCTATTTCGGTCTTTGATTTCCTTGGCCCTAGTAAATGTACTGTGATTCATTTTTCTGCTTTTAAGTAGTATAATTAATAATATTATCTCTCAAAAAGGGTAATGAGAGAATTCTTCTTGATGGGTATGTTGTTTCAAAAAAAGAACTAAATTTAGATTCAGTCAGACTTTTAAAAAATGGGAACCATGCTTAAAGTTATGATAAACATAGGCACGTTTAAATACTTGCGATCTTTGCTTAGGAGTTAACCTCATTTATCTAATTAATGATGGACCTGGCTCCAAAGGCATGGTTTTCTCTCTTCTTAATTGCAGGCTTGGCAATTTTTTGTTTTTTCCTAGCTGTGTTGAAGGAGAGCACACTGATATGTTGCTTTCAGTATATTTTAAGGTTCAAGGCCAGTGGAGAAATCTGTCTTTGGTATTTTGAAAGGTCATGCTCTATAGGAGGAGTTGTTGAAGTGGGGGTTGGAGGATAGAGAAAGGAGGATTAGAGGGCTTGGAATCATTTTGGGACGTTTCCAGTTCAGTACTACCCACCTCAGGACCCATTAAGATTCTGATAAATCCTCTCAGGAGGCTATGCCATGTAGCAAGCCATAATTATTGATGGGGATGCGGAATTAATATAGAAGAAAAGCACAGAAATAGGAAATATGTTGTGGCTATAACATGATTATGAGTCACTGCACTAAGTCCCCCAAAATCTTTATTTTTAAGTCTAGGTTTTGAGCATCTTTAATAAGTGCACTTGTAATCTGTCTGTCTTAATGTTGATGCTTTTGGAATGTAGAGGCAGAAAATGAGTTTGCTTTTCATCTATGTCATGACCTTTGAGGCATAAATGTATCTCATATATAGTTGGTATGTTACCAACTTTTGTGAATTCTCAGGATACAAATTGTAGGTTTGTGTTCCTTCACTTGCTTCACGTATCCATATTTTCTGAGGTCTTAGAAGTTACATGGATCAATTTTCCTTTCAATAAGAAGAAAAGTATGTTTTTTTAAATGCAGGTGATATTTTCTTTTGAGACAAGTAGAAATTATTGTGGGAGAACCACCATTTAGAGTGGCATTTTTAATGTCACTCTAAGGTATGTGCATAAACCTTGCCATAACAGTGACATCTGTTGTCTGTAGGTCCTGTCTGCTGAAATGGCAGAGTTGAATGTTACAATAGAAATAATTTGGCCCCACTTAAAGCATTTATTACCCAGACACTTTATGGAAAAAGGTTGCTAACCTTGTTTTTTGTGTATTTATTTTCTGAAGATCTTCAGTAGTTTTCTTTACTTCTTTGACCCTCAGAAAACTGAGCTCAAATGGCTTTGTCAGTTCATATGATCACTTTCTTCAGGTAAAAAGATTTTTCACAGATATTAAATTGAAGGGCATATTTATTGATAGGCACTGAAATTGTATGTGTCAGATTTTACTCTTACCTGTTGTGTTGAGTACTTCATTTTAACTCTTAAGTGAGCACATAGATGTTTTTTGAAAAGTCCATGATTTATTGAGTTGTGAACAAAAAGAACCCAATTTATGAAGTTCTGGAGCGTGTATTTGTGCTTGGAGAGGATTTATTTAGGGTCATATGGTAGAGAACTGGCATAAAGAGAATATCCTGCATTGCATATTTAACTCCCACAGATTTTTTAGTTCTGTTCCATGAAATTACAGCATTTCTTAATTTTAGTCTGTCAATATAAAAGCATTAAAATGTGCATATTTAAAGGGTAAATCATTCTGAAAAGTTACAGTGTGTCTAGAGTATAAAACATTGCAGTTTTTTTTCTGAAGGTATACCATAGTACACTGTGTATCTAAAGTTTACACATTCTCTGGACTCACTGGAGACAGTGTGGCCAAAGACCTAACACGATAGAATACAGGATGGTTTGCCTTGCGAATGTAAGCATTTTCCAACTGCTCAATAAAGTCATTAAGAATTTGTTTTGTGTGTATATGGAGACAAAAAGAGATCCCAAATGTGGACACATTTCACAAAAAGAAAATAGTGGCATTTGGAGAAATGGCCCTAAGGACATGGCTGATCACAAAGAGTCTCATCTTTTCCTTGATGTAAAGTTTCAAAATGATAATGTGTATAAATACCAGTCTAAGACTGGCGTGGTGGCTCATTTCTGTAATCCCAGCTACTTGAGTCCCAGAGAGCTGGACAATTGCAGTTAGAAGGAAGGCTAGGCAAAAAGTTATAGAGATCCCCTCTCAACAAAAAATTTAGGCATTGTGACACATGCCTGTGGTCTCAGTTACATGGGAGGCCATAGGCAGGATGAGTGCCATCTAAGGCTGCCAAAATATGAGACCCTACCTGAAAAATAACCTAAAAAAATCAAAAAAAGGAAGTCATTTTAAGAAAGGGGAGGAAAAAGAGGGAGAATAATGAAAAGTATGAACCAAACCTTGGTACACTGTATGCATATATGAAAATGTCACATTGAAACCCCCTCCCTGTACAACTAATGTATACTAATAAAACAATTTAAAAACAAAAACAAAAAAGTTCCAAGAGGTAGAATGCTTGCCTAGCAAGTGCAATGTGCTAAGTGCAAACCCCAGTACCACCAAAAAAACAACAAAACTCTAAACAATATACTGATACAATGGAGCAAATATTGCCATGGTTCTAATTCTCTACATCTTGATTCCATTGGTGAATTGAACAGTCTTTGATTTTTTTTCCCCATTAACCACCTTCCTTCATCTGCCATTGTATATAGGATCTTTATTAAGCTTTGGACAATAGACCTATGATTCTAAATTATATTTTGGTTCCTTATTTGTAATTTCACTTTAGAAATAGTAATGGCAAATATGCAGTTTCATGTTTGATTTGAGAGACTCCAGATATTATTACTGCCCAAGTGGTAGATAGTCTGGTCCCACAGACACAGAGAATCAAACTCTTCAGGAAAGTCATGAGTGGGTGTAAGTGATAGTTATATTCTTTGAATTTTTCCACTTTACACCCCCCACCCCCGAATATCACGGAGAGTCTTTTTTAGATTTTCATTTATGTGTCACATGACCAATAATACCACAGGTAATTTTATTATCCTTTCCCAGGTGTATCATTTATGTACCTTATGTCGTGTACTTGACTGAGAAAAATACATCTGAGGTTCTGTCTCACATTTCCATCTCTCCTTCAACTGCGAGGGAATTTACACGATCTCTTTAGTGAAGGATGCTCTGAACCTAATCAAGTCACGATT